CCCCGGCTATGACCATGCCCCCCCGCCACCCTGCACACCCCACAGCACTGACCAGCCCCCCCTGCACGCCCCCCCAGCTATGACCACGCTGTCACCCCTGGGCGCCAGGGGCTTTTCAACACTGAGCTCCACCAACTCCTGCACCCCACAATTCCTGGGGTGCTCCCCATGCTGAGTCTGCCCCTTGGGCCAGCGAGAGGGACCCTCCATCCCAGCCCCGGAGCTGCCCAGAGGGCGTCTCACAGCACTGACCAGCCCCCCCTGCACGCCCCCCCAGCTATGACCACGCTGTCACCCCTGGGCGCCAGGGGCTTTTCAACACTGAGCTCCACCAACTCCTGCACCCCACAATTCCTGGGGTGCTCCCCATGCTGAGTCTGCCCCTTGGGCCAGCGAGAGGGACCCTCCATCCCAGCCCCGGAGCTGCCCAGAGGGCGTCTGGGGAGAGCAGGCACCCAGTGCAGGGCCCCGGCTTGGCAGCCAGAGCCCAGGCCCTGGGCAGAGACGCCCTGGGGTGGGTCCTGTGGGTGCCTGGAGCCCTGGCCCTTCACTCCCACGCCCAGCCCTGCCCAGCACCGCCTACCTGCTGGGTGTCATACAGCGCGTGGCTGTTCAGCACCATCTTCCTCTCGTGCCTGGCAAAGCGGCGGAGCTCGCGCTCGAAGTGCTGGGGAGAAGGGAGCAGACCCCAGAGTCACCACCCGCTGCTCCGGCAGAGACCAGGCAGGCCCAGGGACTCGCCGCCCTGACTCCCTGCATGGGGGCGTCTGACTCAGGGCGCTGAGCCATGGGGAAGGTCTGGCTGGATCGAGACAGGGCCCTAAACCTTCACAGCGCCCGGCAGAGCGAGCCCAAATCCAAACACTGCTGGAGTGGGGGACGGGCTCACATCTGGAATCCAGCAGCACCTGGGCCAAGTTCTAGGATCCTGCAGCGCGGCCACAGCTGGCTCCAGAATCCAGCTCGGCCCTCAGATCTAGAACCCCAGTATCGCGGTAAGGGAGCTGGGCCAATCCACGGCTGAGAAGGGGGCTTGGCTCTAGAACCCAGGGTCAGACCCTGCAGCTCCATCGGCTCCCCCACCTGGGCAGGCACCTACCTGAGAGCCAGTCCAGCCTAGCAGAGCGAACGGGAACTGACTGATCGGAGCCACGACCAGGTCCACCCTGACGGCCTTCCAGCCTCGGGCCGCGCCCGGGCCCCTCTGGCCTCTCTGCGCCTCCAGGCGGAGTATGGAGAAGCACCTCTCGAAGCGGTCCATGCAGTCCCTGGCGCCCGGCGCCCCGGGGCCCTCGCAGAGCACGAAGCTGCTCTCCTGGCTGTGCTGGTAGAGGATCAAACCCTGGGCGGGGCGGGAAATCTCAGCCACGTGGGGAACTCCAGCCCCACCCACTGTGCCGGTCCCAAACCCCACAGCACCCCCTAGACTT